ACGTACGACGACGACTACTACGACACACACACACTATATATATATATATATATATATATATATATATATATATATATATATATATATATACCCATACATAATCATTTTCCTATTTGAGAGGAAAATACGTGGAACTTAAAATCAAATAGTTTATATATTGGAATAAGTCATGCGGATCCTGCATTCAAAAGCCACCACGGACCCGATTCTATTGGTATCAGCATGCCACAATATGAATCTTTTTGCCGTAGTCACAGCCTCTACAGTGACTGTTTACCGTTCCACTACTCTTACCGTCGTTACCACTCTTCCACTAGGTACGGGATACGTTAATCAAGTCATCACATCTTCCGACGAACTCCGGCGCGCACAGGAAGCGATGAATGGAAAAATGGTGAACATGGAAACAGCTGGGGGTGCTTCTGGACCTTCGATGAACATCCCTCCTGACAACATGTACAAACCAAACCTGGCGCTTTACGTTACGGAAGGCATGGCGGCCTGGTCTCCATCTGGAAGGCTTTTTACATTTGCCCTTCCTTGTGGTGTGGTGCTATTGCTGGATGTCGAAAGCAGTGATCTGGTGCGTATTCTCATCCCGAAGCCGTGCCCAAAAGCCTTACCTCGTAAGAGATCCACTGACAGCACACCCCCCTCTTCCTCAGGGATTCACCACGGTCACTTTAACGTCGAAGGACGAGGTCGAAACGCGCTCCCGGAGACTTTGAGGGCGGGGGACCCCACCACTCAATCCTTCACAGTGTTCGCTCAGGTTGAGGATGGACCGAAAGAGCTTCTGGAAGGGGGGAATCCAACAGGGGAAGGGGGCCTTCATGCGTCCAGCAACCCCGCCGTTATTTCGCTTTCCACCACGGTCGGGCCGGTTGCCGCGCTCGCCTGGGTGACGGTACCGTATTCCCAGCACAGCCCGCGTAACCTCTCCTTCTACACCACCGGGATCTACTCCGAGTGCCTTCCTTTGCAGCCGGATCTCTCCTCCTCGTTACTGGCGGAAGTGGAAAGCTCGGGCCTGCAAAAGGGAGATCCCATCGCGTGCAACGATGCCCAGCGTGCGGTGGCTATTTTAATGATCCTGGATATGACTGGCGTCCTTAGTTTCGTATTGGGAGGGCTGCAAGAGGTTCGGTTTATGACGATTCGCATACCGCACCCCCCGGGTGGTGCAATCTGCGTAGAGAAGCTTATTACGGTGCCTGTGTGGGAAGCCCAGCCACGGTGGACGCAACCCGAAGCTGATCTACAGCGAGAGGAGGATGGAAGGGGAATGGAAACACAACCGGCGCGGCGAATCGCTCCTGCCGCGGGGGATTCCTTCTTTTTCGGTCTCACCGCAGACTCTCTACACCTGCTTTCCAAACAGCTTGAGCCGTATCGTGGTAAGAATCGTGCGGAGGAGGCTCATAAGGTCTTTGAGCGGTGGGCGCACCGAGCCGTGCGTTGCTCGCATCGAGCGTACCTCGTCGTGAAACCCACGAGTACGCCTGCTTCGGACACCGCCGGTGCTTGCCGCGAGCTTTTTGAACTCGATCTGGGTTTTCAACTCACGAGAATTGTCGATACGCGGGCTGCGACGATATGCTACATTGCGGAGTACTGCCGAATGGCTCAAGCCTGCATGCACGATCAGCAACAGCTTTGGCGTGATGTGCTTGAAAACAGCACCCGAAAGCATCTAAAGCTTCCATCGAAGGCGGTTTTGCTGCGTGATACCGTTGTGGAGCGTATCGCGCAGCCGAATCAGGCAGATCTTTTATCATATTATGAGATGATCGACAAGTTTGCGCTCGTCGAAGATCTGGAAAAACTTTCCAAGACGTTGCATCGTGTGGTCAAGGCGGTGGATCAGACGTGTTACCGCTGCTACGACGCATCCATAAGCCTCTTGAATACTTTCTACGATTGCAACACCGCTATGGCGGGGCACTTCAACGACAGACCTCCGGAGCTTCTAGGAGGGGGAGGTCTTCCCACCCCATCACCGTTATCCATGCGTGAACTTAGTGCGGAGCTGATGAACATCATCGGGGAGCTTCGCCGGTGCGCCGAAACGTTCCTGCACTGCGTTCAGCTCGGGGTGAGCTACGAGGTGGATCTTGTTCACTACGTGCTCCATCGTTCTTCTCTTCTGCTCGTCCCCTCCGCGGCGTCGGCCGCGAAGGAGCGGCCAAATGACTTTTCAACCTCACCCATGGCCAATTCGAAAGGAAAGGCAACGCTGGCGAATCTCACGGTCGAACCACTTAGCGTGGAGCGGCATCCCACGTTACTTCGGACGCTGGAGCGGATTCATCGCATGAGGAGCACCGTTTTCCCACAATACCCCACCGCGTGTGAGGTCGATGAGGATTTTCTCAAGTGGAATCGGCGGTTGGAGAGGTTATTTCAGTGCGCGCTTAGCCGGAGTGAAGGGGGGGATGGGCATAAAGCTTATCCTCACGAGGATCCTGTCGTCGCGCAACGCATGGAGGGGATTGCCCACGATAGGGCGTGTGGGGCGCGATTGGTGGACGTTAGTGAGCCTCGCGTGGAAGGTCCCCACAAGGCGCCGACGGCGGCGGATTCGCACCGTGAGGAAACGAAGGAGTCGCCGGATGTGAAGGCGCATTTGACGGTGAAGGTGGTGGAGGTGCCGCGATCCACCCCGAAAAGAGCACAGGCGACGTGCCCCGAGCTCTATAGCGGGGAGCTTTCGGCTATCCACCCCTCGACGATTTGTCGAATGTCATCTTTCACGCCTTCCGCGAGCGCGGTTTCGCTGTGTGCTCCTTCTATAAGCCTCCCCAAACTGTCGTCTGCTACCCTGGCTCCTGTCTGGTATGGTTACCTGCGGGAGGGTCGGCATCTGTGTGTGTATCTCCCGACCGACGCGCATGGGGAAACAAACCGTAGCTCGCCTGGATTTTCCGAGCAAGAGGACTCCAGCGACGTTCTGGTGGTGGCCTTCAATGATAATGCGGGCAATCTTGTAAGTCAGGAAGCGGAAGAAGAAAGGGAGGGGTCCGTTCAGGAATGGGAAGTGGGTGAGAGCGGCGCGAATCAACCCAACGAATCGAGCGCGCGGGTAGAGATCAGTGGGATGCCCATTAGTGCGGCCACCATACGGGCTACCATGAGCCGTGCAAGGGAATTCTTCGTGGTGGCCGCGAATAACCGATTCGTTGTGCTCGATTTATACGATGACTAGATTCAAAATTGCCTGTATGCGGATAAAGTAATACTTTTCATTTCTTTTCTCAAGCAAACGCTGAGCATTTATAGAAGAAGTGAGAAAAGCTTTCAGAGAACTTTTTCCTTGTCTCCAGTCTTTTTACATACGGAGTGAAAGGACTTTGAAGCGCGTGCACAACGTACTGCAGTTTAAAATGTGCAATGCTTTCTGTTGATTGACTCCTTTTCCTTTTTCTGGTCATCTACTTTTGATTATAACTTTATGTAAAACTAAGCTCAGAGATAACGAAAAGGTGAAATCTACTTTCGACTTAGTTTCCTACGTCATTTGATAGGTAAAATCCAAGGAAAAGAACATCTTGCACTCATAAAAATGTCAGAGTTTTTTCAAAATGATAACCTTTTAAAAGGCTTTCGAACCACAATCACAGCTGTGAAGACTGTCTGGGAATGGACGCGCGATCGTCTCTGGCCAATGTACACTGTTGCCGTCGTCATTTCCATCTTTAATATGATAGCTATCTCGTCAGAAAAGCAAATTTTGGCAGACCACTTCTATGGCAGCGGTGATCGTACCTTCGAGGCGGAAAAGAATAGCCGCATCGAAGAGGGAAAGAAGTATTTTAACGAGGAGGTGTCGTTAGCAGTGAAGGAGAAGGTCTGGCAGATGCCGCCGGAGGTGTTTAAGCGACAGTACGCAAGCTCCATGCCATAGCCTTCTGAACAAGCTATGAGCTTGCTCTAAGAATGAAAAAATAAGAGCGGAGGAAGAAGATAATAACAAAGCACTTTTGTGTATTGTGTTGTATTTTTTATTCTGAAGTTTTTAGATACATTAATTCAATAAAATTAAATAAAAAGCGATAAAAATTCTTCAGTCTATGCATGTGGGTGTTTCATTCCCCTTACATTTGTCGCCTATAGTGATCTATTAAGATGAGGCGAATGTGGGGATCAAGCTTGGCATAGAAATAAGAATGTTTGATTTTATCGAGGTGGGGCTTCTTTGTTATTGTTGTTGTTCATAATGTGTACTTAAGCAGGAGATGACAGCTTCTTTTAGGTGCTTTTCTCCGCCTTCTCTTGTGAGGAGAAGCAATGGGTAAGGACGAAGCTTGTGATTTCGTAACTGAGGAAAAATATCGGAAAATTTTGAGTTGGTCACTATACATAGCCTTTGGCTCTTTCTCTAAGTGGTATCTATTCTGGAATGAACTAGGGGATAGGGACACACGTCATTTACTGCATTCATATTTCTGCAACCACTCGTTCTATTTCAGTCCCTCTGTCTAATTTTACCTATTTCGTTTTTTTATTCTTAGGGGTGTGTGGAGTCCATTGTATTTAGAAAGGTGATACTGAGTTTGTCTGACGATTTCATTTGCATGGTAGCTCCAGTGCGTCTCTTTATTTTCTTCGTCAGACTCTACCAACATTTCATGTTGGTGTAGATTTTTATTTCCGGAATTCTACAACGAGTATTCGCGCAAACATGATTCCCTCGGCTTCCTCGGCCGTATTGAGGGTAAAATCCCCACAAATCCCAACCCAGGATCCCTTTAGCGGAGGCGACGCGCGCATTTTTGAGGAGCTGCTGGACGCCGAGGCGGCGGTCGACCTCGCGCGGCTGCGGGAGGCCTCCCGATTAGGGGTTCACCCTCGATACCGCGGCATGGTCTACCGCTATCTTCTCTGCGTGACGTTGACTGATAAATCGAGCGAGATGAGCGTGGAGCGCGCGCAGGAACGCGATTTTGAGCTCCTCCGCTGCGCCGCGCCCTACACGCAGGCGGGGCGGCTGATCAAAGGCACCGGGGGGAAGCCCCTCGCGCCGTATCTTTACTCCTCGATGAGTGGTGCGGCGTGGAAGCGCGCGATTTCGGCGATGCAACACCGTGCGGCGTTCTCACACAGCCCTGAATCCCGCCGTTGGTTGGACACCGTGCTGGAATCCCTGCAGGCGATCTACAGCGACGCCTCGGAGGAGGCGATTTTTATCCTTGTGCAGCTGGTATTACCCTTTAAGGCGATCAAATCGAGCGCGAAGGATACCTTCTACTGTGTTAATACGATCTATCACCTCCTCACCCACCATGGGAACCCGTTGCAGGATGAGGATTGCCTGCAGCAGCACTGTGGAAATTTTATGATGCTCTTTCACACGCTCAACGGCATGCTTTATCGGCATTTCTTCACGGAAGGCATCACAACGCTGGAGTGGGTGCCTCGCCTGCTTTGTACCTTGTTGGCCGATCGGCTTCACTTGGAGGATCTTTTGCGGATCTGGGATTACTACCTCACCGATCCAGGTGAAACACTCACCTTTTCCTTGCATCCTTTTGTCTGCTTAGCCCTACTGTCGAACCTTACGGAGGACTTGGTTGATTGTGATAAGAGGGAGATCTTGTATCGGTTGGAGCACATGCCACGTATCAACGCCGAGGCTGTCCTTCAAAAGGCAATCTCGATACGAGAAGACGCTTATACCAGGGGGCTACTGTTCTCGTGATTATCAGTACTTTATATGGTTTCCCTATTCTTTCCTATCCCCTTCCATTTTTGCCAATAAATTCATTACGATACGAAGCATTAATCAAATTGTCAGAAGACTAATTTTGTTGTTAGAGGGAAGGAGGATGGGTTGTCCAGACGAAAGAATAATGGAATCCGTATTTACTGGCTTATGTGTTTATTCAATAAATCTTGATTTTTGAAATAAGGTTATAATGTATTTTGGCATGAAATTTTCTGACATCCTCCTTTCGATATGTTTTCCAGGGTGTCCTAATTAAAATTTGTTTCATAAATCCATGGAAAATATGTCTGCGTATGGAAACACTCACAAAGCGTCATGAAATTCTAATAATGGAGGGCACATCGCTCCCATGGACGACCTCGATTGCTTGGAATTTTATTCAGAAGCCCTTTTTTCAGCAATTAGCACACAAAGGTGCTTGAAAAACGTTCAATCGACAAGACCGTATCGTCCTCACGACGCTTGGACAAATGGTTTAAGGAAAGTAGTGTACTGTGAGTGTGAGTCTTAATTTCTTTATCGGACCAGCTAACGGAGTAACGCTCGACTTTTAGATAGGCCAAACGACCGTACCACGGGGTGGGGGAGTATCTGTAGCATGTCTATTCCTTCAAAAAAGGTTGTGTTATTCTGTGATTTACATATTTTTAGCAGCGGTATGGCTCTCAAAGTAGTTAATGAGAAATCCTTTACGTGAACTAACGCCTTGGTGCTGATCGTTAGGGTGTAGAGGGTGACTTGGGTGCAATCCAAAATCTTTAGTCGAATTCAAGATGAATTTAAAATCATGGTGAAGAAGTATCCATAGATTAGACAAGTGAGGAGCAGTCTGCTTTGGTATATGTCTGCATGTGACATTAGTGGTGTATTTTGGTGTTGTAAATACACGTTCAAAGGCATTATAACCCACTTTGATTGAGATCATTACAGTAAGGTAAGTTCTTATTCTCCCATGGATGCTTCCATTTTTATCCCTCCTTCGGGGAAGTATGTTTACTCCAAGTACCGCTAACTTCTCCCTATAGCCTCTTTGAATATTAGAAACTAATTAATTTGATTCGAACTCTTAGAAACAACGTCAAGCTGAGCTACAATTTCAATTTGCTGTGAATAAAATTGTATCATTCTATTTTGCATAAACAATTTTCATAATCCAATCTATAGGCAAATATTATAACTACTCACTTCTTTATGTGGATTTCTAGATAAATCTCAATTATAGTACACGGTATGAACAATTCTAAGACATCTCAGCCATTTTCCAATGGTGATGAACCTGCAAAGGGGGGGTATCAGGACAATTTTGAGGATGATCTGGTACAGCAATTGTTGCAGACCGATGACGTCGACCGGCTTGTTTCGTTGATTGAGCATGAGCACTGCCGCCGTTCCACGCCATTAAGGAAAAAATCGATTTCAAGTGACAGGAAACGCACAATCTCGCCTCGAACATTATCAGAGCGTCAAACCAATGTCCTTCCGAGCCAGCGATCGCATCTCTCACATCAACCTTCGAAAATGATATTTTCCCCACCTTCATTATACGGCAAGACTGTTGAAGACACCCATTATACCCCCAGCGACAGCACCCTTCGTCTGAGATCAACCATTTTAAAGCCAATAATTGGGAAGGCAGTCGATAACTCGCCTTCTCAGTTTCCCCCTTTACCCAAATTCCGTGACCAACAGAATAAGAGTACACCAGGGCTCTTAGACAGCGGCTGTCATAAAGCCCCGCGAGAGCATCTAAGCCAGAGTGCTCCTTATTTGTCGAAGTTGGATCGAGATACCCCAGACCTGAAGCCGAAGCTGCAATTTGGATCTCCTAATAATTATTCCATAACGGTGCCTATGCCGAACCGCAATTTAGACGTTGGTTTCAGAGGTCAGCATCCTAGTAGCCAGGAAGCACACCCAGGCTCGAATTTACATACACAGGACGAAATGACAAGCAGCCCTTTAGATTTTGTACGTACGCCTATACTTGATACCTTTGAAAGTTTCTCAGATGGTCAAGAAGACCCTCTGTATGCACGCATTTCCCATCAGCTGCAACTTCTCCGTAATTACCGAGAACAAGTGAATATTTGCTCCCAGACAACCGACTCTAAAAGTGGCATCTTCAGTGTGTTGAATTCCCCTAAAAGACATAATACTACTCTCTCTGAACCGCCCCAAAATGACACTAGCGGTCCCCATGGTTTGTGTGTAGCCTCAGGAATGAATGGTGACAGCCCACCAGGGATGACATGGATGGGGTCACCAACCTCTCATACCCAAGCCAGACATCCCATAGTTCGCAATCGCGTGCATTCCCCCGAGGGTTCACAAGAGAATAATTATCACGCCGACCCTAAACGACAAGACGACAGTGGATATCGAGGACGCCACCCGATGCAACTCGATAAAATGATACTAATGCCGCCAGAGCCATCCTCCGGCTCCAATCACCCCAACTCCCAGACCCCCAAAACCCCGTGTGCTTCGAACAGCATGTCGGTTGCGCGCTCGCCACTTAAATATCCTCGCTATTTCAGCCCGGCCAGTAATCAATGGAACGATCCACACCACTCCCCAACCGCCACCACCGAAGAGGCGGGTACTAGTTTTGGCGAGGAAGGAGAGGAGTATGAGTACGTCTACGCCGCAGATGCCCTAAACGAAAGCCTAAGCAACTCCGTTCTACCACCACCTCGAATCATCGAGCGAGAGCAGCACCGGCGGTTTGCCCATGTAGATACTCCCGTTGTTGACAGGGGCCCGCAATCCGTAGGTAATTCAAGGCAAACCTTCGCCAACTCAACCGAGACTCCAAAGGCCTCGTCAGACAACATTACCCTTCCTAAACCAGATACTGTCATAAAACCGTCCGGCTGTCAGCTTGACAACTGCACTAGTAGTCAGATCAACGTCCTTAACAGCCAAGAGGGGCTACTCCCGAATACCGCTGAAATTCATAATTCGCTCCCTAGCTTTACTTGCATAAGCTCAGGAGGAAAAGATGAGAACTCTGCGAACCATGTTCAAAGCAATACGATGCTTACCGATGACCCGACTAAAACGTCTGCACTACAACCTAAGGCGAATACAGATGACAAAAGTCACTACAAGCCACTCCAGGAGATCGGCTTAGGCAAGCACACCAACTCGACGTTTGCCGACAGCACATCACTCCTATCCAATGAGAAGAAATCCTTTCGACGGTATCCAACCCCCGAGAAAATCCCAGGAAGCCCCCGGGCGAAACAGGATGATGACGACGATAACGACGGCCCCCACAACGCGCAGCTCCGGACGCGGAAGCCGAACTCGCTGCCCACCACGCCACGAACCCCTTGGCAGCGCCCGAGGAGAAGGAGCGGGTCGGGCCACGCACGGCCCCACCCCTCCGGTTTCGAACACGCCGCCCTCTCCGAGGAGGACGATGACCAGCAGGGCAGCTTCTACAGCCTCTGCAGCAGCCACGGGCAGTACGGCCAAACCCCTTTGGTGGCCTACGTCGGCCCCCGGCGGAGCGCC